CCCCCCTCTTTCCCCCTTTCCACTCTCGCATCCTTTATATTGGTTAAGGAATACGTAGGAAAACCGAGCGGTGAAATAAATGACTTTTACCTCTCCTCGCGCTATCTTCTCGATACCGTTGCTTAGCGTTCGACCTTCAGGTAAACTTTGAGGAAAAGCGTAACCCTTTCACTTTCTTGTGTCAAGTTTCTTTTTTTTTTTTTTTTCAATAGTTGTTAAACGGGTGGGTTGGAGAGACTGATAGTCTGTTTGTGGGTTAAGTTTGAAATGAGGTGAAGAAAATTATTTATTTATCTTTTTTTTTTTTAGGTTCTCGTTTTTACACCTCTTTTGTCTCCTATCACATGCCGTTGCTCTGTCATTCTGGCAGCGAAAGGGTTATAAAAAAATTCACAGATAATCGAAAACGATTTTTTTTTTTTGGAGGTGTTCTATTTTTTTTAAAGAGCAGTGAAGAAAGGTATTTCCCAGAGAGAGCGTCAGGCTTGTGTTGATGGTAAAAACACCGGGAGGACAGCCTCGCTCCACGTTCCGCTCGTTGCCCTTGGGGTGATTTTTTCTTTCGTTTCCCCTCGCCCTTCACACTCGGTGACTTCGGATTTGTGTGCTCACGCACGAGAGGGAAGTAGGCCAAAAGAAAGAGGAAGAAAAATGCGGGAAATTGGTTTTTGATTAAGAAGGAAAAGATGTAAAAAGGAAACAAAAGGAAATGGTGGTAAGGAAAAAAAGGGGGAGGGTGGCGTTACGTATGGCCACATAAGCTGTATTGCTGCAGTATAATGTATTTTATTTGGCTTTGAAAAAGCTGGGTCGGGGGGAGGGGTGTACGTCGGTTTTGAAAAGAAGACACTTGGTTACTTATTACTTCTTGTCGGGTGCAGGCGTCCGTAGAAAGGTGTTTCTCTGCGTGCGCGCGTGTGTGTGTGTGTGTGTATGTATGTGTGTGTGTGTGTTCGTTTGTGTTTGTCCTTATGTACGTGGGGTAGAATTGTCGCCCCAGGTTATAAACACAGATAGATAGCGCGCGCGCGCGTGTGTGTGTGTGTGTGTGTGTGTGTGTGT